TATATATATATATATATATATATATATATATATATATTATTTTACTTTCTTAGGATCACTAATAGCATAATTGAGTAAAGGGACTAAATAATTTTTTATATATATTTTGGAAACCTTTTTTATGTATTTATTTTGAAGACTAAAAAAAGTTTTAAATTTGATGAAATATATATATGAGGATAGGGTTATAATAATACCGGTGTAACTTTTACTAAGTATTATACAGCTCAATAATTTTATATTAAATGTGAATTTTTTAAATCCAATTGTTAGATTGAAACTTTTTTACTCTTAGATTATATATACAAAATTTTATAAAAAGACTAAAATAATTTATTTTTGAAATTATAAGATTGAAAGACAATAAATAAATAAATATATATATATATATATATCATTTAAGGATTTAAAAATATATTTAAATCTTAAGAATCTAAAAATATATTTAAGTTTTAAAGAAATTATTATTATTATACAAATCATATATATTTATTTTTAACAAGGACAACTCTGTTTGATTTGAAAAATAAATAAATAATTTTATTATTATTATTATTTAAAACATTTTGATCTTATTCAAACATGATTTAATACTTTTCTCTTTTTTCCTTCAATCTTTCTCTTTGTATATTAATAATATATTATTTATTAACTTTTCACTACATCAATTTTTTGTTTAACTATTACATATATTTCGTAGTTCATAATATCAATATGGAGCAAACCGGGCCCAGGAGATCAGCAAGATTGGCCGGTTCACGTCCTCAAACCCATGCTTACCTAACAAACCATCGTAAACGCAACTCTAAAGCCCATCTCACAGGCCCACACAAACGCACTCAGCCCATGCCCAACCCCACCAATTTTGAAGCCCATTCAACCATCCCCACAGGCCCACCCCAGCAAAGCATGCCCGAGCCCAGCCTGCCAAGCCCGCCAAGCCCACCCAGGCCCAAGCCCATCTTCAACGTGCATAGCCAACTCTTGAACTTCAGGGCCCAACAGCTCCAAGAGGTTAAGAACATCACCGATTTCAAGACCCACGCACTGCCCCTAGAACATATAAAGAGGATCATGAAATATGATGAAGATGTTGACGTTATTTCCTCCGATGCATGTGTCGTGTTCTCCAAAGCATGTGAGATGTTCATCAAACAACTCACGTTGAGGTCTTGGTTCCATGTTGAGGAGAACAAGAAAGAAACCGTCCAAAGGTGTCACATTGCAACAGCAATTTCTCACCCTGTTGAATATGACTTTCTCACAGACACTGTTCCTAGAGATGACATTGATGTGCACATTGATACCCAAATGGGGCAAGGCCCATAGATTGAAGCCTGCATGGATCACAATTCAAAAATATGAGGCCCATTTAAATGTAAACCTTTTCAAGCTTCTTTGTTTAGCTCGTATGTTAATGTAGTTTGTTTTTGGGTTTGTGAACTAATGCACAAACTTCTAATAATTTGGGTCTCTACCTACCCATTTAAGTTACAAATTGAGCCTAAACAAGCATGCTAGCCCATATACCTAACTCTCAAGATGAACCAAATATCTTAGTAGTGATGGTAAAATTTTGGAGGATTTAAATAGGAAGTTTCATATTCATGGGAGTTTGTTGTAAATTATGGAAGTGTGCCCGTACTTTTACTCATTTTATAAATACATCTCATGGTAGATACATTACAAACTTAAATAAAAACAACATATTAAAAAGTGATATAAAATATGAGTGTTTCATTTATTATAATATATTTTTAACAAACAACACATTTCTATGATCAATTAAGATAATGACTTCTTATGAAAAGATATTGATGTATAAGAAATTATAATAGTGTATGAAGTGATGAGTCACTATGAGTATTGATAAATAAGTCCAATACTACAAACTGACACTCAAGGAGTTGAGTATTGCATATTGTGTTGATTGTACTGAGTATATCGAGTCTATGCATTCATACTTTGTTTCATGTGATAGTGTGAGTCTATACAAGTGATATATCATAGGTCATCTACCTAGTTACAATACTTTGATAACATCTCGATAGACATATGGTTGAGATGGTTTGGGGTCATTATTGATGGGAGGTCCCTACACTATTCAATGGAATGATTCTATTCCATTACTCATAGGGTATTATGTATACTAAATGATGAGGAGGATATCACATGCAAGTAGAGTTAGCTAGGAACATGCGTTACATGATTGTTTTTTTTTTCCTCAGAACTCAAGAAAAGCTGTTCTTGTTGAAATTCTTGAATGTGTATTTTATTTTTTTCTTTGTTCAGTTGCTTTTTGACCACATTTAGAAAATACATTCTTTCTAACTTTTGTGTAATTGGTAAATCATATTTCAATTTTTTATATTATTATTCTTCACCGCTGGGATCTGTAACAGTGTGCATAATGGAAGCTTTGCAAATAAATTTGGATGGAAAATCAAGTCAATATAAAGACCCTGCATTGGCACATCCTTTTTCTCCAGAACAATATTCATTATATTGTCAGATCGGTTCGGATGTATGTTTTCTACATTTTTTATTATGAATTTCTTTAAATCCCAATTTTATTGCATGTTTTGGTGGCTCAAAGTCTTTTTTCGTCTGAACCCTCTTCTATTCTAGGTTTGATGCCAAGGATTTGCTAGGGGGATGACTGGGTACAATGATCGGCTGCTAACCGAAGCCCTGCGAGAAGGGCCTCGTACTCCGCTTGGTTATTAGAGGCTTTGAATCCGAACTGCAACGACTGTTCTATAACCATTTTGCCGGGGCCTTCCAGAATAATGCCGGCACCACTACCTTGTTTATTTGACGATCCGTCTACATGTAGCTTCCAAATTGGTGGCTCGGGAATTATTGACGGTGTGAACTCATTAACGAAGTCGGTCATGCTTTGCGCTTTGATTGGTCCCCTAGGCTCGAAACGAACATCAAATTGCGACAGTTCGATGGACCAAGCGACCATTCTTCCCGCCAATTCCGGCTTCCGCAATACCTTGACAATGGGACTATCTGTTCGGACAAGGATCTTGTGACTCTGAAAGTAATGTCGAAGGCGCCTAGCCGTGTGCACGAGGGCGAGAACAGTTTTCTCGAGATATTGATATCTCGACTCAGCCTCTTGCAAGGCCCGACTGATGAAGTATACTGGCTGCATTTCTGCTTTCTCTTGTACCAACACTGTACTGATGGCTTTGTCCGAAGCCGAAAGGTATATTATCATATCCAAACGAGGGTCTGGTTTGGCAAGCAAGGGTGGAGTTGCCAGCATTGTTTTGAAACTTTGGAAAGCCGCTTCACACTCCTCATTCCATTTGAATTTGGTGGCTTTCTTTAGCAAAGACATAATGGGTCTGGATTTATCCGCCATACACGGCAGAAAACGAGCTAGTGATGCGATGCGCCCGGCTAAGCGCTGCACTTCCTTTACGCTGCTAGGGCTTTTCATATTTATGATGGCTTGGCATTTGTCGGGGTTGGCTTCTATACCTCTTTGTGACAGCATGAAACCCAAGAATTTTCCTCCCGCTACCCCAAAGGTGCATTTGGCGGGGTTCAACCGCATGCGGTGTCTCCTTATCTCGCTGAAAATTGTGCGAAGGTCTTTTAAGTGGTCCTCGGCGGTGTTGGACTTGATTACCATATCGTCCACGTAAACTTCCAAACACGTCCCGATCTGTCGACGGAAAATCTTATCCATGAGGCGTTGATAAGTTGCCCCTGCATTCCGCAAGCCGAAAGGCATTACCCTGTAACAAAAATTGGTCGAATCGGTAATGAACGCGGTTTTTTCTTCGTCCGGGGGGTACATGGGTATTTGATTATACCCCGAGTAAGCGTCCAAGAAACTCAATCTTTGATGGCCAGCCGCTCCGTCGACCAATGTGTCAATGTGAGGCAAATCCTATGAAATCCTAAACCAATACACCCCCCTTAATTTATTGTTATGTTGTATTTTGAGATGGATTGATAGTGAATGATGCATGGAGATGTATTAATTGTTATTAATATTATATGAGATATTGACTATGATATGTGAGATGTAATTGACATTATATGTGTGGATATCTACCTTTATGTCTTGTATATGTTGTTTATGGATGAGTTTTATTCTCACTCATTGTTTTTGTATATTTGTGTTTGGGTTGAATATCATTTGTAGGATTAGAGCATGTATAGGAAAATATATTTAAAGAGAAAAAGGCATAGAGGGATTATGCTTTAATAGTGTGATATTGAGACGGAGTTTTAATTTTAAGTAGTAGTTGATCTATTAAGTTTCCCTTTAATTATATTTTATTGTCGGAATGTTATTAATTAGGAGGTTGTGTCTTATTTTGATTCAAATAATATTTTATATGTTTTTTCTTTTTTTACTAAAATGATGGATAAAATTTTGTGAACTCTTTTACTAATTTTTAAAAAGAAAAGTGTTATTATTATTTTTATTTTATCTTCAAAGTTAATTTTATTTATTTAATTATTTGGGATAAAAGGATATCATAATTCACACACTAAATAAAATGACATTAGGTAATTTTACATTTAAACTTATTTAATAAGAGGTATAACGTATATCTACTTAAGGTAGCGGTTGTGCTTAAGTGGGAGATACCAAAACTCAATTAGTGAGGTTAGGAGTTTTATTGGGATAGTTTATAGGAAATTTATTGAGTAAATTTTTAAGATAGCGGTTCACGGTTTAGGCTGCTCTCATTTCTCTGGTCGCTACTATGGGAATCGCTTTTGCTTTCTTTTCCTCTGGTTATTAAGATGTTT